GGAATATAATCAATAATGTTGTAAATATTTCTTAGGGGGCCAGATGGACTCATGTCTTGTGGGGGAGACCACTTCATAGTCGGTGTAGAGGACTGACCACCGCACTGTATTTCTGCAGCTGATGTTGAATAATATTGTATGTCAACTATAATTATATATACATATAGTCACGGGACATGGAGTAGAGTGTGGGAGTGGAGTCAATGGAATTGTAACAGATAAGCATGATATCGGGGGGGAGGGCAATTGATGGGGAGAGGGGGGTTGTTACTTTGTGAGGGTGAAAAGTGTAACTATTGCATTGTTCTGTACACCTGAAACTAACAATAAAAATTTAAAAAAAAAAGAAAAAGAAAATCCTTGGGTGCTGAGTCTCTGATGGACTTCTCTGGGCAGAAACATGGCAACACGTTTCTGCATTTTTCTCAGCTGGGGAAAGGACTGGGTGTGTTCCCTCACAGGGAGTACTTTAGAAGCCTGTGCATGGATTTCTACAGACTCTGGTGGCTTTTTCTCCTGTTGATTCTATCATATATGCTTTCCTTGCAATAAACTTTGGCGGTGAGTACACCTAAAAAAAAACAAAACAACAAAAAAAAAACAAATAAGCAAACAGAACCTATAAAGTCCAAAAGAACCAAAGAAGAGGTAACATTTGAGTTGAGTTTTCAAAGATGGGGAGAGATTTTCCAGGTCAACCAGAAAAATGAAATTGGGGAGGAGCAGGTGTTTAGTTTCTAGCAAGACAGAGAGAAGGTAGCTAGGGGAGAACAAGTGATTTAGCCGCTCAGGAGTCAAGTGCGTGGAGAGAGAGAAGCAAGGTGATGCCAGACAGGAAAGTATGAACTACATTATACACACTTGATAAACAATGTCAAGGATTCAGGGCTTATCCTATGGCAATGAGAAGTCACTCAAGTATTTTAAGTGAGAGGCTATCATAGCTTACATTTTGGATGGGTTGTTACGTAAACAGTGTGGGAACGGTTTAAGGACAGCAAGGCAGTCAACCCGAAGACCAGACTGGGGTCTAATGAAACAGTCCAAGGCCAAATGAAGAGAAGATTGGAAAGGAGGGGAAATTTTTTAAACCTAGGTGATGTTACTAAAATACACAATGACTGTTCATTCTGACGTGGAAATAAGAAAGAATAAAGAATAGCAGGTAATTTCTAGGTTTCTGGCCTAAATGACCAGATAGATCACAATGGCAGCAATACAAAGAAATTCAGACAGCATTCCCTGAGTACCTCAAACTCAATATGTGGGGAAGATAAGTTCAGTTCCGCACAGGTTGAGGATAAGGTGACTGAGGGGACATAAAGGTGGATATGCCCAACAGGAAATCTGAAATGTGAGTGTGAAGCATAGAGCCCTTTGCCACGGCTATAAATATCAATTTGGTAGAGATCAGAATATGCACAGGAAGAAAAACAAGTGGGTGAGGCTACGTTACTCAGGGAGAGAGTGTCTAAGAGAGAACAGGACTAGACTGAGCCCTTGGGAATGGTCAAGAGGCAGGCAGAGAAAAGAGCAAAGAGTGCCAACTGTACTCCTCCCATGGGCAGCAGCAACTCCGATGGATGACTGATGCAAGTACAATCCTTTCCCTTCCAACTAAGATCACTTTTTGGGATTCGTTCTTTGACCACTTACACATACGTACTTTATTTTGTTTTGAGCTCTCATCCATACCACCAGAACCCTTCTCAGACACACAGATTGTAAAGGCAGGTTCTCCTTTTCTATTCAAACTTTCATCTCTAAGGCTCAGAGAGAACTTGTCACTTTCCTACATATAGGCAGCTCAATTGATTAAAAGCTTAAACTGGCGTATCAAATAATATAAATACCTACCACCTTTTCTTAAAACATCTTTGGATACTGACACTAACTCCTATCTCATCCTACCAAAACAAACCAAAAACCCTCCCCTAAATGTCTACATTCTAACTCCACTACTTACAGGCACGAAATGACCAAATCCAGGGCAGTGAGGCCTTGGAAATGGAAAGCCAAGTAAGGAAGAGAGGAAATGATCATGAGGCTTTCTGGTGATTTTGAGAATGGGATAAGATACTATGCATCTAATACACATATTTTTATAGTTTTAGTTATGTTGTCAAAGTCCTTAGTAACACCAGGTATTGTAAGCAATAGCAAATGTACTACATAACAGGATAAAATTCTCTTGAAACGCTCTATACTCAGCCAACAAGGCTTTCAATCCACTTCAATTTAAGACCTTAAGAGAACTTGTCGGAACTAGATTTGGTTGAGATTCTAACATTATAATCATTTGCACGCCATTCTTGCTGATGTGCTCTCTCTAGCCAAGAAAATGAATCAGATCAGTAAAGCGATTTAATGATTCTTTTTCTTGGGAGGCTATTTCAAATTCAAGAGCCTTTGATGGATCTAATTCCTATGAACTGTACAACACTCAGCTTAAAACTCGATTTATTTTATCAACAATTCTAACATAAATGATGGGGCTTATCTTCTCATTACAAAGTTAAGTTCTCAAATTTTGAGAACTTGAATATTTTCATACAAAATTTATGCTGAAGCCAGGAATTTTTCAGTCCTATATTTTATTTGTTAACAACAGTAACAACTGCAATTAATGTAGCATTAGCGACCTCTCATTGCCAATCTTCGGGCTGAGAGACTTTAATAAAGCTCAAAGAATCACTTGTACAAAGTTACATAAATATTAAGAATCAGAATTTTTATTAAGAATTAAAAAAAAAAAAGAATTAGAAGATAGATGCAAACCCAGGTCTGTTTGACATCTTTTCCCAAACAAGAAGTGCAATATTTATTGTATGCCAAGCACTGATAAACATTTTTCATGTGTCATCTCATTTTTTTAAATTTTTTTTACAGTCGTCAATAATATTGCTAAAACTAATACCTTTATCTTAAGATGACACAATAAAGGTTTATAAAGATTGAAATGTCAAAGACACTAATTCGAAAAAATATATGCACCCCTATGTTCACTGCAGCGCCATTTACAATAGCCAAGACTTGGAAACAACCGAAATGCCCATCAGTAGATGACTGGATTAAGCAACTGTGGTTCATTTACACAATGGAGTATTACTCAGCTATAAAGAAGGAAATCGTACCATTTGCAATGATATGGATGGACCTACCAGTAGAGAACATTATGCTAAGTGAAATAAGTCAGTCGGAGAAAGACAAATACCATATGATCTCACTTATATGTGGAATCTAAAGAACTGAATAAACGAGCAAAGTAAATAGAAATAGTCTCAAGAGATACAGAGGAACAACTGATGGTTGCTAGATGGTAGGGGTGTGGAATGAGAGAGAAGGGGAAGGGACGAGACAACATAAACTGGTCACTACAATATTGCCACAGGGATATGAAAGACAGTTTGGGGAGTATAATCAATAATGTAAATATCTTTTGGGGGGCCAGATAGACTAATGTCTTTAAACATGGGGGACCACTTCATGGACGGTATAGAGGCCTGACCACTGCACTGTACATCTGAAGCTGCCGTTGAATAATATTGTATGTCAACTAAGATTTGATATATATGTGGTCACGAGATGCAGAGTACAGTGCGGGGAGTGGAGTTGATGGAATGTGATAGATATATATGATATCAGGGGTGGGGATAGTTGACTGGGGGAGGGGGGTGGTCACTTTGTGAGGGGTGAAAAGTATAACTATTGCATTGTTTTGTACACCTGAAACTAAAAATAATATAAAAATAAATAAAAAAATAAAACTGAAGAAGCTAAGAGAAAAAGATTGAAATGTCAAATCATACAACTACTAAGTGGAATTCACTACTGTTTAAAACCTTGGTCTCTCTGAAGCCACACTGCTTTCCTTCTCTAAGATGATCCTAAAAGTGAAAATAAGATCTGCATTACTTCTAGGGAATTAAGAGATGATAGGTATTTTTAAATATTTTCATGATAACTAAATTATTTGTATTTGCAAGCCCTCTGAGGGGAAAAAGACAGAAATGCAACAGGCAGGGGAAAGTTGGACCTGAGAACTTCTAAAGGCCTTTCCAACTGGAAGACTAGAAGATGTGCTGTAACGGACGGTTTCAGTGCCTAATTCAGACATTTTTTAAAAAAGGGAATAAAACCATCAAAATTAAAAGCCCTCCGTGCCTTTTCATATAGATTATTTAAGAACAGTAAACAATGTAAGGTGATGAATGTTAACTAGACTTACTGTGGTGATCATTTCATGATATACACATATACAAATATTGAATCATTATGTTGTATACCTAAAACTAATATAATGTTATATATCAATTATACCTCAAAAAATAAAAAAGAATGTCCAATATTATACCCTTTTTTATATTATGGTCCACCCTGAAGGTAAATGTGGTTTATATTATCAAATGATTTTATTTTTACATTTGCAACGTAATCCTCTCCTCAAAGAAAATCCTGTGGTAAAATATACTGTGGAATAAAAATAATATCATTAAGAAAACAATTTGTTTTAAATTAGTTCACTGCTACGGAATCATGTCTACTTATAAAGAAAAAAAAGAACGATAGAAAAGATCAAGTTTTGGCAAAGATCTAATTCTTTATTCTCCAAAGGAATAGAATTTCAAGTTTTAAGTAAACAGTACTAAAATAACTTTTCAAATTGCAGATGTAATTTCTTGTAACCAAACCAGAAAGGATGAAAGAACATTCTATTTTAATTTAAATACACCATAGCTATAATTCAGTAAGTTCTATAACAGTGTCTAGACTGGGTAAAGTATACTGTTACACTCACTTCCTAAGCCACAAGCAAATTCACTCTGTGTCCAGCTGGATAACAGAATAAGACAATTCCCAAGACTGCCAGCTTTGAGACAGAAGATTTTGACTCATAGATACAGAAACAGAAAAATTTTGACTCATAGATACAGAACTTCCATTTGAACTGATTACCAACAGAGCAGCCTTAATACCTATATAAAAATATCATAGATTTCTATGTCAGACAATGTCTCTTAAAGAAGACATATTCCTCGGATTCAAAAGCAGGAAATTATAGGAAAGTAATTCAAGCTCCAGGTGTCCTGAACCAGCTCTATTTCTTTTTCTATAGCTCAGAGACTAAATAATAGCTGCTTAAAACTTTCCAACTTTCTTTTGAAGGGCACTCAACCCAAAATAGCTTTGAAACATCACTCCATAGTTTATGCTTCTTTTTCCATCTTTCACACTCTCAAAATGTTATTCTGACACGTTAACTTACACGTTTAATGTGGACCAAACCTGTGACTCATTAGCACAGCTGTCACACTCCCACCTGACACACACGGCCACAGGCTTCCTGCAGCTCATGCAGGAGGACACAAAGTAAACGTTACTGAGAAGTCAGGTAAAAGGAAATGGATTTTGATTTCTAGAAAAAAAGAATGAAGGGAAGGAAGGGGGACAGAGAAAGCCAGCCAATGAGCACATACTTACATTGGTCAGGGGCGCATGTGCAAACATAGAAAATCCTTCAAAGATATATTCATGATCATCGTATTCTATAACAGTTGGCCTGTCAGTCTAAAAGGAAACAGAAACACAAAGCTTAAGTGAAATAATGACATGATGTGCACGTGCAAAAATCCATCAGGACACAAAGTAAACAGGAAAAATGGAGGAACTGCATAAAGTTTGTCAGTGTTTTTCTGAACACTGAGAACTTTATACAAAAGTTTAATTTTAGGTGGAATTCTCTGGCTTGGTGGAATTCTCTGGCTTAAGTAATATACATGTACTGAGACAACCAAAAATGTTTATTATGGGTGTCATAAAGAAAAAAAATGGTTATATAGCTTCATTTTTCTAGGAACTTGTTTTATTTAACCCCACAATACCCAGTCCTGTTCTTACTGAACTATATCTCTGAACAAGAACAAGATACTAATAAGATGACTCAAAGCTCAAAGTGAAAAAAAGACTCAGCATCATGAGGGTCAAGACTAGCAACAGCCTGAAAGGACCTGGAAGGCCTCAGGGTGCCTGCCAGCGGCTCAGCCCTTCACAGCTCCATTCCCAAGCCTGCTAAGGAGAAGCCAACCCACCAAACGCTGTAACAAATCAATTCCCACATAATGCCAAAGATCTTAATTACCTGAAAACTGAATCTGTAATTAAAACATACAAATGTTAGGGCCGGCCGAGTGGCTCAGTTGGTTAAGAGCTCACTCAAGAGTTTGAGCTCTGAGCAACAGCGGTTCGAGTCCAGCCCGAGCTGAGCAGCCACTGAGCTGCCAACAGGTGGCAGGATGGCTCAGCTTAAAAAAAAAACAAAAAACAAAAAAAAACATACAAATGTTGATCTATGCATAAGAGACTCTCTTCCTTATGCCATTCTCATAGCCTACCATTTTTAATCCTAAATACTAAATATGGAGCTAATTATCAAGATTGGTAACATAAAATATACATTTTTTACATAGGTATTGAACATTATTCACTTAAATATTTTATACGAAGAAGAACTTGGGAGGAAGACTAAAGAATATCTAAATATGGGCCGGCCGAGTGGCGCGTTGGTTAAGAGCTGGCTTGGGATGCCAGAGGGCCCCAGTTCGGATCCCACATATGAGGGCCAGTGACACTGCCCTCCACAGCTAAGATGCTGAACAACAGCTCAACCTGGAGCTGGGCTGCCGTGACACACCAGCGACAGCGTAGGCTGCAGCCCCTGTGGCAGTAGGTTGCCATGGGCTACCGTATGTAGCCAGCAGCCAGCGTGAGCGGCCAGCAGCCGCAGTGAGCGGCTGTCCAGAAGCCAGTGACTGATGTGCCTCGCCCGGGAAGAGCACAATGATGGTGCCAACTTGGGCCAGTGAAGCAACGTCCTCCACACCTAGACTGAAGAACAAAAGGACAGCAACTTGTCTGTTCCCCTTCCCCCAATTCCCCAATAAAAATCTTAAAAAAAAAAAAAGGAATATCTAAATATATAGTATTTGTTTTGTCAATATTACTACTTGAATAACTCAACAAAGCTGGTCTAAATTGAATATAATAAAAAGAATTTCTGACGAAATAACAATGGTACAGCCACTCTGTAAAATAGTTTGGTAGTTCCTAAAAACATACAGTCACCACATGATCCAGCAATTCCAGTCCTAGGTTTATACAAGAGAAATGAAAACATACATCCACACAAAAACTTGTACACAAATGTTCACAGCACTACTCATTATACCCAAAAAGTGGAGACCACCTAAATATGCATCAACTGATGAATGGATAAACAAAATATATTCGATTCATACAATGGAATATTATTTGGCCATTAAAAGGAATGAGGTTGCATGTTACAACGTGGGTGTATCTTGAAAACATTATGCTAAGTGAAATCAGAAGCCAAAAAGATCACATATTCTATGATCCCATTCATATGAAATATCTTGAGTGGACAAATGATTGAAACAGAAAAGTATCTCAGCAGTTGCGGAAAGTTGAGGGGTAGGAAAGAATGATTGCTAATGAGTACAGGGTTTCTTTTAGGGAAGATGAAAATATTCTAAAATCAGATTGTGATGATGGGTTTATAATTTTGTGAAAAGACTAATATCACAAAATACACACTTTAAATACGGTAAATTTTATGGTATATGAATTATATCTCAGTAAAATTAAAATATATAATTATTAATAATCTAATTCTGAAATTGAAACCTCTTGATGATACAAGTACCCAGAATTAATAAATTCTGTACTGTGAAAGGCAGTATAGCACAGTGGACTAGCTCATACAGCCATGCATGATGGAGCCATAACACCTAGGTTCAGATCCCCACTCTGCCACTTACTACCTGAATAATCCTGAGAAAGTTACTTAACCTCATTTGTAAAACATGAACTACTGCCCCATCTGTATAGTGGAGATAATAATATCTACTTCATCAGTTTGTTGTGAGAAGTTAATATATGTCAACCACTTAGAATGGTGCCCAATACCAGTCAACAAATAGTAAGTAGTGTTATTACTGTTGTAAATATAATAGTTTTTTCTTTGGATCATCAGATAATATTGGGTTGTCAGAAAAGTCATGATATATTTTTTTCCATGTTTTTCATTGCAAAAATGTATAATGACTTTTCCGACAACCCAATATATAAGCTATTCGCTAATTTTTAGGAGATGTGAAAGTGTTCTACACATTCTTCCAACTCTATAACTCCAATGAATAGCTCTATAATTCTTTGGCTATTACATGGTACCAACAATATAAATGAAAACGGTATATAAAAGTATAGTAGGGAGAGGGGGAGTTGTCAATTTGTGAGGAGTGAAAAGTATAACTATTGCATTGTTTTGTACACCTGAAACTAAAAAAAAAAAAAAAACAGCCAGAATAAGCCAGTGCTAACAACAACAAAAGAAGTATAGTAAGAATGTCAAAATAAAAATCACTATGATAAAGGACAATTTTACCAACATAAAAATAGAATATTTTTAAAAGAAAGAACATTTCAGAACTGAATTAGTATTTAGTCTATTCATATATTAACTTACGTATACACATTCAACCATTTACATTTTAAAATAAATGAAATCTGATTTTGTTAGGAACTTACTAAAAAGTTTGTAGGAGGAGAAACGGTAATTCGATAGTGGAAGAGTCTACCAGCATTGTTGGTCATAGGACGACAGGGCTTGATGGCCTGAAGGAAAAAACAAAAGTGAGATTAAAAGTAAATAAGGAGGGTCAGCCAAGTGGTGCGTTGGTTAAAAGCTGGCTTGGGACGCCAGAGGGCCCGGTTCAGATCCCACATATGAGGGCCAGTGACACTGCCCTCTACAGCTAAGATGCTGAACAGCAGCTCAGCCTGGAGCTGGCTGCCATGAGTCGCCGTTGCGGCTGCAGCCCCTGTGGCAGTGGGTTGCCATGGGCCACTGTGTGTTGCCAGCAGCCAGCGTGAGTGGCCAGTAGCCGCAGTGAACAGCCGTCCAGAAGCCGGCAACTGATCTGCCTCGCCCGGGAAGAGCGCAATGATGGTGCCAACTTGGGCCAGTGAAGAAATGTTCTCCACAACTAGACTGAAGACCAAAAGGACAGCAACTTGTCTGTTCCCCTTCCCCCGATTCCCCAGCACTATTCCCATTCCCCAATTCTCCAATAAAAATCTTAAAAACAAAAAAAAAAGTAAAGAAGGAAAAAATTTTATTTAAAAATAGACTGTATTTTCTAGCTGCACATATGACAAAAAGAGGCTATCCATGTGTTCCTTCAACAGGCTAGTAGGAAAAAACAGTGTTCCCTTTTCCACTTAGTAGATGAATAAAAGAGGGCTGGCTGTCCCCAGTATTCAGTTCATTCCCTCACGTGCAATACAAGTTCAGACAACATAAAGACCTTTCTAGATTTAAATTTCTATGGCTATCTTCCTTTTATTTGTAAAATAACAATAATTGACCTTTGGCTAAAATCCCAATAAACTGGGGGGGAAAAAAAAAAAGACAGGAAAAATAATCTCAGAAATAACAGAAGTAGGTTTTGTTGGGGGCGGGGGAGTGTAAGGATTAAATATACTGAGTAAAAACAGAAGGGATCAAAAATGAGGGAAGGGAGAGAAGTGGTGGAACAGGCTATGTATGGAGCTTAAGACAGTGAAAGGAAAACAGGAAACGAGCAAAAGAAGCATCAGTGGAATTGCTGGGTGTGCTGTGATGGACACAGAGCTGTCACCCAGACCACCTTTCAAGGAAGGACTTGCTGCCCACTGCGGAGAGAGTGGACTGCAGAGCCCCAGGCAAGGCAGAGGTATAAAGGCCCAGCCATCGCGGCCCAAATCGAATGGGCAACAGCCGTTCTCGGATCGCCCCCAGGTTGATGGGGCTTTGCTGGGGCTGACTCACAGTCCACCTGTCAAATCCTGCTTACACCCTCTTCCTTTCATAGGTGAAGATCCCTAAGAAACATCCTGCACCCCAAACTGCACCTTAGCATCTGCTTCTGGAAAATGCAATTATCAACAGTTATTACCAACAGTGATTCAACAAAGCAGGGGAGTAAGACGGGGTTTTGGAGCTGAATCGCTGACCACCCAAATGGCAATATGGATCCCACCACGGTGGTAGGCAGAGCACACAGCCCCTGGTACCAGATGGCACACCGGCTGGAACCTTCAAAGATGGTAAATTGGGAGACTGTACCAGAAGCAGGTGTTTAAGACTATGAGAGAATGGTAGCTACACGAATATGGTATGGATGGCTACTGCTAAGCACCACTGATGCTCTACCATGTTCCTCAAACTGTGGTGTGCCTTGAAATCACTGGCTTGTTAAATCTCCGATTGCTTGCTCTGCACCCCCAGAGTTTGTTTCAGCAGCTGAGGCAAGCTGCGAATCTGCATTTCTAACAAGTTCCCAGTTGATGCTGATACCAGTCAGAAGACCTCACTTGGAGAACCATTTCTCTTCAGAAACGAACAGAGAGGAGAGGCGATTGGAAGCCAGATGTGAAAGCCAGAGGGCCTGTTGGAGGCACACAAAGAAGGTCTCGTCACCTGCAGTGAGAGGTCAGAGCAAACCAGGACCAAGCCCAGGGCTTATTGAGTCAGAGTGGCTGGACCTTAAAGACAACTAACAGACAACCAAGGTAGGTCTGTTATGCCCAGGTCAGGGACCTGAAAACATCCCCACCCCTCTCCCCCACCCCAGTACCCAGTCAGTCAGTCTCCTCTCCTGGCCAAAAGACCTATAATTAGGGACATTTCACAGCATATCCCAGCTGGGGAGGTGCTCGGAGGACAGATTATATCCCATGGGAGCTGCAAGAGCTAGCCAGCATGTGCTAGCAGCAGGAGTCTGTACAGAACCAGGTGCTGAGAGTGCTTGGTCAAAAGGGCCAGCACATAAAATTGGTTAGGGAAGACTTTACTGATTTGGTAGAATTCAGGACTCAAGGACACCAGGAGACTGCAAACTCCCTACTAGGATGTCTCCAAAAAGCATGAGAAAGCAACGGCCCACGCTGAGTGAAGTCAAAGCACCAAAACTGCCATGACAAGACAGAGGAGGAAGGAATTCAAAGATTCAAGACAGTGGGCATATCGGAATGGATATATTTATACTACCTGTGACTGAAAACTACGCCACACAGGCATATTCCACCCAAAGGCCCAGAGCACATGGCATTCCAAGGCCAAAAGGAGTGTGCTGGTGAAGGGGCACCAGCATGACTAGAAGACCCGTGGTGGCCTCCTCTGCAGGCCAGGGCTGACTGTAAGGGATGCTGTCACAGAGCAGAGCTTGCTAATATTGACAGGAATGACAGTACTCTGAAACAAGAGGCCAGACAGGTGATGGGGCTCACTGTTAGAAGCCAGGCGGCACAATTATCATTGTGACCAGCAATATCCAAGTGGCAGCCCCAGGGTCTGACCCATAGAGTCATGGAAGTAGTCGACAGAACATGGTGTCCTTAGGTAGAAAATCAATGGGGAGCCGACAAGAGTACTACTTAGTTTGCACCATCAGAAGAAATCAAGAATGGATGACTAAGTGGCTAAAGGTAGGTTGCTTCAATAAAGTCATGATCCCTTGCCCAGTTCCAGAGCTGACCCAGTTTTCAGACTGAAATCCATTGACTGAAGAGGTAGCCAGTTCCCAGGAGGCCTTGCCACACCATTATAAGCAAAAGTGGGCGTGACAACCCTGTCTTTCCACAGAGGGGCTTGAGGCCATTTACCAGGCTAACTACACTAGGGAACGGGGACCCAGGCAGTTCAAGGCATGGTGGATTCAGCCTCTGATTCCACACTTCTCAGACTTGGGGCAGCACCCCGGTACACCCGGCAGAGTGGGGGAACACGAGACCAAGGCAGTAAACAAAATCTGGCTCACAGTAAGTCCACTGAGTCCACAAATCCACCCAGTGGTCATTTCCCTGGTCCCTGACTGTATCATTGGAATTGATAAAACTGGCAGATGGCGCCAACCAACACTGGGCCCACAAAGTAAGACTTATCGTCCTGCACAAGGTCAAGCAGAAGCCACTGATATGACCATCACCCCCAACCTGGACATCAAAAACATTATCACTCAGGGGGGATGGTGGAAATTAGTGCCACCCTTAAGGATCTAAACCACACAGGGGTGACGGTCGCCATCATAGCTCTATTTAATTCCTAATCTGGCCCCTGGAGAACCTAAATGGACCCTGGAGGATGAATACAGACTACCACGAGCTCAGCGAGGTAGTAGCTCTCAGTTCACCTGCTGTGCCAGGTGTTGTAGCTTAGAGCAGATTAATATGACCTCAGGTACCAAATATGTGGTGGCTGATTTGCTGACAGTCTTCTTTTCTCTCACAACCACATCAAAATTACAACTAATCTACAAAACAACCAGTATTGAGAATCACCTAAAATCAAGCTGAACGGAAGCCTTTCAACTAAGGATGTGCAGAAGAAGCCTCCTCCAGACTGGTAAGAAGATCAGAGACGCGGAACGGGCTGGTCCCATACCCGCGTGTGACCATTAAAGATCAGGAGGGCTATCTCGGCTGCGGGGGTCCCTCCAACCCCACAGAGGAGTGAGAGATCCCAGCCCCACCCCAGACCAGAGTTCCAGTGCCGGGGAGAGAAGTCCCCATAATTTTTGGTTGTGAAAAAGTGTGGAAATTGTGACTGAGTGAGACAGTGAGGCTGCACTCACAGGTGCTCCTCTTAAAGGCACGCAGACTCACCCACCAATGGAATCACTGGCTCTGGGCCCCAGCTCTAGGGCAGGAGCTGGAAAGGCAGGGACAAATGGTGGGGACCGAGTTATCTGGCTTAGAACCGGAGCTGGAGAGGCGGCTTTCTCCTGCTCCCAGGGGCTGGCGGAGGCCATTGTTTCTTTGTGGAGCCCTCCCCCTTCCCGGACTGGGAACACAGGCGGCTGCCATTTTTTAGTCTCCATTGTTAGTTCACCCCACCCTGGCGATTTGAAACCTGGCCCCACCCAACTTACGGGCACACCCAGGCTGCTTTCAGTGCCTTTCTCATGCAGACCGCTTGCCTTGGCTCAAGCTGCACTTTCCTAGGGTCTCTCAAAGGTTCGCGGAACCCAGACAAGCAGCATCTGGCTTGAGCATGTCCTGTGCCCCTGGCTGAGCAGCCCTAAGCCGGCACTAGTGGCAGCCGGCCTTAGTTCATGGCTTGACCTCTCAAGGCACATCCAAACATAGCATGGGTGGCAGCCATCTGCGGATTTCTTTCTGACTCCTGCTAGGTGGGCCCGGATAGGACACGGGTTGTGGCTGAAGTAGACCTACAGCGGATCCCCTCCAAGGTGGTCCGGGGGCTGGAACCCCCAGTGGCCAGCTTCAAAACAAGGAGACCATCACCCAGCCATCTCCAAGTACGACACACCAAGGGGCGGATCGGGCAGACACCACAGTCCTGCTGAGGCAGGTTCTGCTCTGTAGGGTCAGCCCCTGCACAACTCCTCTTCCACTGTAGTCAAGGCCAGTCCTCACAACAAGTGAATCCAAGGGTCAGTCCCTCACACTGATGTGCAATTATCAACGAAGGCTCAACTACAAGAGAAAGGCACACATAAGCCACACAGGGGATACTCCTGGAGCGCGTGGCTCGGGTGACCAGAAAGGCTGCACCACTGAACTCTATAGCACACCTACTACATAAGGCCATTCTACTAAGACTGGAAGACATA